GTGTGTGTGTGTGTGTGTGTGTGTGTGTGTGTGTGTGTGTGCGCGTGCGCTCTACACTCTATTTCTGAGCGGCTTGGTAAGAGCCCCTAATATCATCTAGAATCCAATAGCACCTTAAGACCAGTGGTTCTTCCACTCTACACCTCTATCCTCCTTCTCATTCTTTCCTTTTTTGGAAGATACCACCTCTTTTTATTTATAGTGGCAAAGCGTTTTCTTATTTCTTTTTTCTTGTGTGTGTGCGTGTGCGCGGCATGGCGATGCTTTTTTCTTAGTCTCAGCACATTAGCCATGGAATTTCAATTTGTGTCCGAGCAGCATGTCACAAACACATGCCTCGTGATGAATGCACCCAGCGTCCATGAAAAATGAATGTCATATAACATAAGCAGTTATATATCAGATGTAATTGCACTCACAATTCACCTATAGCCTGGGGGCACTCCTATTTGTTGTGTCGGTGACATTTATGTAAGGGGAGTGTGAGGCTAATGTAGTGTGACTAAAGCAGCGCTGGGATTTTTGCTTGGCTTGCTACAAGTCCAACTTTGGGAATTGGAAATATGCAGAAGATGACTGCGCTTTTATAGAGACACAGAGGTTCAGTTTGGCTCAGATGGATTACAAGGGGCTTATGCTGCTCACTGACTTTAACTAAATGTAGGCTTCTGTAATTAATGTATGAAAGAACATTGCAATTGTTTCCTTATGTTTGTGAGCAGATGGCACCAATAAGGAGCATAGTGACTAATTTTCACTTACAAATTCCTCTCCTCTCCTCACCCCCACTCCACCTGCCACTTTCGACACATCTGATAAGCCAGATGTGTTTTGCAGCACACAGGGAGATGGCTGTCCTTGCTGCACCACATGTCTGCTTACTTTTTTAACTCCAGCACACTTTTTATGAGTTAGGTGATAAGGAGATTAAGGCTGCCTTGTGCAAGATTGAAAGCAGATAATTGCCTTTTAAGATGGTTCAAACTCAAAACTGTAGTAAGATCTGTTCCATGATCAGTCCTCGTTGAATAGTAGTGTTCCCCTGTCGTTTTGTCTCATTCTTACCCTTTAGAAAGTTTGAATCGTCTGCTCCTTTGTTCTAACCTTTGTATGGGTGTGAACTTGCAGCTCACAGCTTTTAAACTAGGTTGGTATCATCTTGATTACATAGATTTTCTCTCTCCCGATCTCGACACAGTCCTGGTAAAAACAGATAGGGATCTGAGTGGCAAGACCCAGCAGTTCATTCAACAAATTGGCCATTTTGTTTGCTTCATCCCTTTGGATAGACAGTCCCCTATTTCAGCTGACTAGATGCTATCTGTAGCCCCTTTTGTATAAACTCAGTATCAATTGGACAGTAAATGGCTTTTTCACAGGCCATGGCTTTTTCAAAGGCCACGGACTTGCGAGATAAACATTATGGTGTGTGGTCAGATAAGGCCAATTGTTGAATATCCAATTTAGTATTTTCCTCAATCAATAAAATGGCTTATAATTGTTGCTTAATAATTGTATGTTCTCCTTGGAATCAGCCTTTTTCGCCTATGGTGCACAACCCAAAACGTTTCCACAAACCGCCTTTCAGATGCTTTGGTGTCGTGATAAGATGTGATAAGAAATATTCCCCCCATGTTCAAATGAATTTTGAATAAGAGTGACAGCCCATATCTGATATGTTCCAGTTTCAGGTCTGAGATTTCATTCCCAGTGACAGCTTTTCATACGACAGGTCATCAAATCACTCGGGCCACATTGGGTGAGGTGATTTGTCAGAATACGCTCTGCAGCAGCTCCACCATACCTGCAGGGGGAATCATCATAAAAGCACACTGTGCTATAATAGCACTGCAGGGCACATCCAGGTGAAAGCCTCATCATCCCAGCTACGTGCCACTGCCCTCTCTTTTTTCTTTGACACTCATTGGGTGGTACAGTCGAGACTCTGCTGAGCAGCTGTCATGGACACAAGCTTGTCCCAAAGATCTAGAAATAATGTAAAATATCTGAATCATGAATGTTTTCTATCTGTCTGATGTTTCCTCAGTTTAACCTTATAAACCTTTAACCTTTTCTGAATCATAATTTCTAGTTTTTGACATTTGATAAGTAGGGAGGTGCTGATGCAGGTATCGATACTGAGCCTTTAAAAAGATCAGCCATAGCATTCTGTGCTCTGGAAATGTATTCATAAAGTCAGCTGTTTCTAGGTCAGGTTTGAGTCCCACAGCTATCTCTGGCCTCATGTAACCTTAAATGAAAATGATTCCAATGGTTTCCATGCAGGGAGCTGTACCCATTTTAAATTAGGGGAAAAGAGAGCACTGGTGTTGCATTGGTACTCCCTTTCAGCAGATACCCTTAGTTGAGGTATTAGAATCTATGCCAGTAGAGAAAAAGTGGTGTACATCATAGGCTAGATGATGACTATGAAATGTCTTACCCCTCTCTGTGAGCCTCCCCCTTTTCCAATTCCTGGATGACTCCCAATAGCACCTTGATGGTCTCCTGGCTGGAGCTGATGAGATTCTCCATGGCCTGCAGCTGTTCTTTAACATCCCTGTCCTGATTCATAGGCACTATTTGCTTACAGGTCTCCTGTGTTTGGTCGGGCGGTGCTCCACCAGCCTCACCACCTCTGCAGGGGGACAGAGGCTCCTCCATGTCCCTTAGAGGCCGAGCAGATAACTGGCCTGTGTGGCACTGTGCCTGTGTTGTACAGCCTCTACTGGAACGTGGTAGTGTCTCACTCTGCAGCCCGTTGAGCTGGAGACCTTTCTTCCGCTTGCTTCGCACAGATGGGCTGTCCAGGCACTCCACCTGTGTTAGGGAGTTCCAGGCGATGGGGCCCGAAACCTTGGAGGCCCTGTCCGGCAGGGTTCGGGATGAGCCCTCCTCCAGATTGAGCAGCTGCCTCTTGACCGAGCGGTCTATATCGGCCTCCTTGAGTTGTAATCCTGTCCTGGCTTTCGATGGGACACTGCAGAGCTGGTACTCTGCCTGTGCTCCGGCTCCACTTCCTCTCGATGTGTCTGCAAGGCAGTCTGTGTCTGCAGAGCAACTGAGCAGCAGAGCGTCAGAGCACAGGCCATCAGGTGCAGTGTGCTGCTCCACTGTGGCAATGCACTCATTAGTATGGAGCAGAGCCCTGGTCCTCCGGACTCCACTCCCCCCGCAGGCTCCCTCCTCCTCCTCCTCATCTAAACCCTGCTCAGCAGCCTTGGACTGCTTCACCTCCATGACAAAACCGTTATTCTGACCTTTATAAGTGTCCACAGCCGCCACGTCTTTATAGGTGTGGCCTTTTTTGCGCTCAAATGGAAAAGTTTGATAGCGTTTCTTGAGGTCAGGTGATGTCTGCACGCCCGTGCTCCTTGTGACGTTTGGGATGGATCTGCGGGCCGGGACAGTCATGTACTTGCGGTACGCCACTTTGTATGAGATAGGCTTGCCACCTTTCCCCGCCGCCTGCAACTCTGCCTCCCTTTGCTCGTTCTGTGCCTCACAGATATCCTTGAAACGCACTTGCAGGGCCTTGTTCCTCTTCCTCACCTGCCGACTGGCTTCCAGGGAATACTTCACCTCAAGTGCCAGCAAGGTGGACGGCAAGGGGGCTGCCTCCGAGTCAGACTCTGAGTTGGTGAGCATACATTTGCCACCCTCCTTGCTCACCATGTTTCCTGAGAAGAATGGAGAAGAGATGCCACGTTAGACACTTTTTACAACCCACTCAACAGAGCACAAATCCTCTCCTAGCTTTGGGGGAAGGGAGTAACTTGTTATTATTTAAGGAATACTTTACTCTCATTGACATTTTATCTTCAAATTCTCACAAATCATAAAAGCTAATATACATTGTAGCGAAACTGATTATACAAACATTTAAAGTCATTTGCGTAGGTAATTGAGTATAACCAAAATAACTTAGATAGATTTTCTTTACATAAATAAATGCGTATGATTATACCATTGAAAGAAAAGCCCATAATTTCCTTGTCAAAACTGTAAGGGTGAAGCATTAAATCTCTATGAATGCAATTTTTTTTAGCACAATTTAACTTAATTTAATTAATTAATTTGAATACATTTTTGCCAGTTAAAACATCTTTCACCACCAGTTGCATCTACTCCCTCTCGCTTAGTAATGAGTCTTTGTTTCTCAGTTTTGCTGTGGTGATCAGTCACTACACTTACAATCATACACTTTGTCATTCAAATGCATTTAGGCAACAGTGGCAAATCACTGTTGACTGGACAGATTGCCTCAGCATGACTCTTTACTCTTCGACCTTTACTTTTAACAGCTGTTAATCAAGTTTAAATAGGATATCTGCCCATTTGCAGGAACATTTGCTCTCCCTCAGCAAATATGACTATGCCATCTGATCTGGAGATGCCAAAAATGTGGGCGATATCTGCAAACCTTTGTCAGAGGACTGTAAAAAAAACCCTAAGTAGACACATCCTAAGCAGAGATAAAGAATTATCTTTCCCCCACTACCACAGGTATGGTAGCAACAGCACAACTCTGCAGTTTGCCTCTGAGGCCCTGACAGAAATGTAATTCTCCCCCTGCCTGCTGATTTACAATAAGCAAACACTCCACGCACTCATAAAGATCCTGAATCAGATAGGACAATTATCCGTTTCCACTTATCTGCCAAGACTGCTCTCCGTCAACAGTGAAGGACATCCTATTTGAAACCTGTCTGTTTACCTAGCTGGGAGCTACACAATGGACATTTTGTCTCACTGTCTTCTCCATCACATTATCACCTTGGTTCTGTATTAATACACTGAATTGTGCTGGGTCTCATCAATAGGTGAGAGAAAGCCATCCGTCATTGTCTATTTCATCTAAGATTTAGGATAACAGTTTCATTTACAGATGTTAATAGGAGTTGGTATAATTTATAAATGCCTACATTTTACATGTTGGCATAATCGTTAAGTAATTTTCTTTGGAAACTAAAGAAAAGCCCAGTATTAATTAAATCAAATTTGGGCTCTGGTCAGTTTCAGTCATGTGGGCATCTTCTTAATTGTTTTAAACGTGCCTGTAATCACAAGAAAAACAGGCTTTGGTTTCAAATACAGAATGCCTGGTGCTCTCTGGTGGGGCTCAGTTAAGTCTCTCATGGGCTCAGTCAGATTTAGACAGAAAATTTCAGCTACAACTGCACTCTAATCACAGCACGTTTTATGGGCTACATTATATGAAAAGTGGACAAAATACAACATATTCACAAGATCTCCAGGAAGAAAACACCAGCGTCAGTGCAGTTATTCACAGAGAAAGGCCAGAGGAGGGCAGGAAATATAACCATTAGTAGTCATCAGGGACTCCAAGGAACAGTGTTGCCATAAAGATGTGATAACTTGGTGACTGCTGACCCGCTCGCCACTTTTGATTGAGCTGTGAATGCAGAGTGAATGCAAAACAATGTAAAAGGGGCAAATCAGAGCTCCATGTGTAGCACAAGCCAATTCAATAATATTCCAATTATCCCCCTGGCTGTGCAGCATTTGAGGCATTTCGGATGAAGAATGTCTGAAACTGGCACTTGTCCGTTTGACCATGTGACGTTTTATTTCCAGATTATTATTTATTCACTAGCATGGCTAGGCTCGTGTGATCCATCCCTGTCATTGTCCTCTCCATGTTGGTTCAATGGATGAGACTTTGAATTAGACATTAAGCTGTAGAGAAATTAGTGTAGTTTGTCAGCACAGCAACAGCATTTTCTCAGTCCTTTCTACTCATCCTCCTCTGCATAGGCTCCACCATACATCCAGTTTCATGCTATTGTATCATATCCTCATTTAAAGTTGATCCCTTCCGACATGTCAGCACTGCAGGCTGAATGATGTGTCTGTGACTCCACATATCTGATTTTTTACCCACCGGGCCCGGGAAACTGTAGCAGCACTCGCATCTCACCTCCGGCTCAAAAGCCTCCCCCCGGCCTCTTGCATAAATAGCATGACTCATCACGCAGTCCTGTGACAACTGTCCCTTTTTAGGGTGGCCCTGATCCTCTTTTTTCATTTAGGGGCATGTAAGTGAAGTGAACTGACCCACTATTTTCTACCAACAAGCGGGCCTCACAGGGTCATCTACGGATGGCAAAGCACATCAGACACATTCACTTCTGACCTTGTTTCAGCAGCGCAGCTCACACAGCTGTCACAGTGGCACTGTGGGTCATTTTTTGGGTTATTTCTAGGGACACAAGTGAGTTGTGTCCATGATGAGAATCTGTTGAGCATGACTGGTTCTTGGGAAGAGTTTCCTGGCTGTTCTTTGAAGCTTTGCAGTGCTACAAGGACATTCCCCATTACTGTGGTAATGCAATTCATTATTCTTTAATGGAAATGGTCTTTATTCTCAGAGCAAGTGCTCATTTAACGCAACACACCGTGAATATAAAGCAGGATCCCCTATTAATGGCATTATTTTGAACTGCATAATATGAGTCAGCAGTTTTGTGACTGGCAGTTACCTAATTGAACTTTTGGTTGCTGGGGGTAGAATCTTTAAAAGGTGGAAATCTTATTTTCCTGATTCAACCTGGGGGATTTAATGTTTACCCTAACTTTGAGCCTGAATAATTTTATTTTATCGCTTCTGCTCCAGTGAAGAGAAAATTCATTAATATAGCATGCATCAGAAAACAGGTGAATTGATTAAACCCTGCAAATATGGTTTTACATGTCAATTAGCAACAACAGTCGGAACAGGGTTTCTGCTATAAGCATTGAACAGGGTGTTTCATTGAGATTTCCCATAATTTATTTTTTATAATACTCTAATATTTTTCCAAGTTATGCTCAGTGCACGTTACATAGGTTTCGCTTGTGTTCAGTTTTTAAATCCGAAATGCAACCTGGCACCTTCGGCATTACAGCTTCCTTTCTGTCTCTTGCATGACCAGAACTGATTGCACGAGAACACTGGCCATGCAAATCTAATGGGGTCATTTAACACATCCAAGGGGAGAATCCATTGACTGCAAAAGGAATATATTCAAAGATCAATTTCAAGATGATTCAATAGCAGATCATTTAAATGGAGATTGATTTGAATCTGAAAGGGCTAATCTGCTTGTCACGAAGGGGGCTGGGTGACTTGACCTGACCTCAACCCCATCAAGCACCTTAAGGATGAAGTGGAACACTGTCTGTGAGGCAAGGACGAATCACCCTGCCTCTATGAATGACCAAAGTCCTTGTGGCTGAATGGAAGCAAACTCCTGCAGCCAGGATGGAAAAGCTGTCTTAGAGAAAAACAGAATTTTTTGCATAATGTAGCATATGCAAAAGTTGGTAATGAGATATTCAAGAATCACATATGGTAAATTGTCGATATAGTCTATGTACCCTCCAATCTTCAGAAGCCTTACTTGTCAACATTCCTGACTCTGGCACATCTGTGTTTATTTGCTGAATGAAAATAATAGGGAAATGTGTGCAGCCAGCATTGCATTTTTTGAATTAGAGAGCTCCTCTATCGCTGCAGTTTTACATCATTACGGCTCAGCGTGGTCTCAGATGCTGCTTGAACGAATAAGTGTGGCAGCATCATCACAGACGCAGGAGCTCCAAACTCTTCTGTAATCCAGCGTTATCAACTTGTGCTTTGTTTTCCTCTTTTCTTTCTTCCGTCAGCTTCCCCTCATAATTACACAGGGCTTAGTAGTGTATTGAGAAAGTCTTTGATGTGTCTCTTAAGAGCACACTGATTATGCAGTAAAAATATGTGCAGGCTCATAGTTTGCTTCAGATTGTGTTGGGGAGGTCATTTGACATTACAGGGTTTACTGCTGGCTTTTTATTTTCTATTTGACACGAGCCCCCCCCCCAGCTCAGGGTTTGATGAGAGGGTATATATAGCTGAGTGATTCACTGTACAGGTCAGTGTTGAGGGATAACAGCAGCCCTGTGCATTAGTTCGACACCAACCGCAGCAAATCCTTTGTCAGTTAATGGTAGCTTAATGCCGCGAGATGGAACGCCACTGGAAATCACAGGGTTTTAAGGGATTGTCTTTCTTGTAATTGTTGCTCCGTCAACTGAACTACTGCTCTGTTGCCAAGCACCATGTTGAAGACTTAGCACAGAATTATCATGTAATATTGCATTAATGGCTAAATAACACCAGGAACATATTTATTGAAGTTGCAGGATGAGATTTCCTGATTGTAACTTGTTTCCTCCAGTCATGTGTCAATCCGTGTTACAATCTCACTGAAACATTAATACCTTTATGATTCTTTGGCAACTTGTTGAAATACTAGAAATAGTTTAGAGTGTCAAAACGTTTTCTGATGTCGTGACTGGATGAATCCAGATTTGCTGTTAATCCATGACATTGAGAATATCCCTATATATAGATTCAACCATATGCACCATGTTTGCACCAATGACGTGTGTGCACTACACCTCACATCCTCACCCCCACACTACTGTCTGCCTGCCTGTCTGTCTCTGTCACAGCTTCAACTCGGGCAGCTTTAATCCAATTTGGATTAAACTTGACAACTTGGTTGGGGGTTGGATCAAGACCTGTGTTATTGTTTTATCTTTATTTTTTTGATTTAGGAGCATCATGCTAATGCTTGGGAAATACATTGAAAGCACATATTCATATGTAAACAAATGGTGTTTAATTGTAT